GAGCGCGAAGCGAGCAGCTTTGCCGCTCGATTATCGCGTTCGCTATTTTCGTGTTCATCCTACACTGATCTTATGGGTTTTAGAGCGAAAGAGAGCCTGTTTGCAATCTAGCCCAATGCGAAATTCACTCTCACTCCCACGCGTGATGAGTTTACCAGGTTAGAACAATTTTAAAGCAAAAAGATGCCTTACTTGTCGGTAGCTTTTACTTTCACTTTTAAATACATGTGTACAACCGCCACCCCACCAGCCACCCCACCGCAACTATTTGCACCGACAGGATTATACCAATACCATCTCCCCTCGGGAGAATTTGTCTTCCATTCAGTCTTTCCGATCGTTTAAATTTCGTGCTCGTATGGTAATCGGAAATTTCAAAAACTCCCGCGGGCATTTAGAAGCTTATACCGCCATTGTTCAGAATGACCATATAAGACCAATTTTAGGTCTTACAACAATGCCTATTGTTATCAATGTTGAGCAGGTTTTCTTGATACCCATTATTTGAATGTACTAGATTTGTTCCTGCTTGCCGTTCCTTAGCAACTAACTGCCTTGAAATCTTAGTTTCAGAGAACAAAGTCCTGTGCCACCCCTCCTCAGTAGATTCATTGTCCACAGCAGCTGGTCAAGAAGACCATGTGTCTATGGGAGGTTTTGCTGCGAGGAAATCTTTAAGCGTTGTTAGAAATGTGGAGAGAGGTCAGGTTTGAAATCGACTTGATACTTGGTGTGTGGTGGGGGGAGCCTCTATCATGTGAAAGGGGCTGGGTTGCGCGTCGTCAAACTTTGAGGTATAAGTTGTGGTTTTTAAGTCTCTGGTAGGGTGTTTACGATAGAATGACATGCATGCAATGTTTTGTTTGCTTGTTTGTTTGTTTTTGACGCACTAAGTTGCATTCGAAAGGGTAACAACACTTCGTTACACCGCCATTGTCAATGGTTTAAATAATCTAGAATGATATCCTTATAAATTCTTCGTAAATGGAAACATTCGATAACAATGCCATGATCATTGAATTCATTTAGCTCTTGTTAGCTTATTTGTTTTAGGCTGGTACTCTTTAAGGGACAAAATAATAACACTTGAGCTACGCCCATATTGATTTCCGTTACAGGACGGTTTTGTTAAATTTTTTGCAACAAGCACCCCCTTCCCTTTTCCATGGAATTCCCCCTCCCAAAAATAATTGACACTTGTAACCAGTTGTTTTTGCTTTTTTCTTTCTTTATTTGTTTATTTATTATTTAGCCATCAACGGTACCCATTTCACTTATAGATGCTTCAATTACCTTGCTTTGTTGTTTTTGTAATGACAACTGCCGATGTTTCTTTCTCATTTTCAGTTCTTGCTATTGAATTACTAGCAGCTTGTCAAGGAATCGAGTTCCTGCGGCCATTGAAGACAACAGAACCACTTGAAGCCGTTCATTCGCTCGTGCGGAAAGTCGTCAAGTAAGATCATGTTAAGTCAGTGGCAAGTGTAGCAGCTCTTGTAAGCTTGTAATTCTATTTGTCTTCATAGTGTCGCAGCTGTTATTTTTTTGGAGCTAGGGCCATTGTTTCTGTTTTTTGTTCTATTGTTCTCTCAAAGAATATCGAAGCATTCACGTGAGACCTTGCGAGAGCTGCTACCCGATCCAAGTCAGTTTGTGTTTTTATTTAGAGGGACACAGTCAGCTTTGGTGCCGCGCTGACCTGGACACTAGTTTTCTCATTTTGAAAAAAGTTCACCTCAACCTGAAATCAAAGTGCATCTAGAAATCCGCTTCAATCTTCACAGTTTTTTGTTTGATTTTCAATGGTTTACTGAATACCCTGTTTTTGAGTGTGCTTTTGCTCATTCTATGATACTATTTTTATCATATTTGGTTAAAAACAGTATGGATCGCGTCTCTGTGATATGCAAATTAGCTATGAAATGGCATCTACTGCGCATGTGCTCCAGCTGACTGTGTCGCAATCTAAGCCAAAGCTCAATCTTGCCAATCACAAGTGAGACTGGCCAACCACAAAATGAGCTTAACGAACATTTGAGTAAAGCAAAATAATTTATAGTATCTTTCGAATCCGTTAACAAGTGCAGTAGTTCGCGGGTTCATTCGACAGAAGAGTTGAAAATTCGGAAGGAACTTTCTAGTAAATCGCTGCGCGCCGTTTACAATTCCCAAGTAGTCTAATCATATATGACAATTACTGACGCAATTAAAAAACTAAAGCTGATGTTCCGATCGCACCGTAAGAATCTAAAGTCTTTATGTGATGCTTCTTCGAATCTTAAGCCCTGGCCAAACGGACTCGCAGCTAGTCGCAAGTAGGCGAAAGTTTAACTTGCGTAGAGACTAGCGTTGGTGGCGAAACGGACTCGCAAGTACATGCAAGTGTACAACGCAAGTGCACCCAAGGCCTTGTCAAACGAAGTCTCAAGTAGGTCCAAGTTTTTAACTTGAGTCTACTTACGACTCCGTTTGGCCAGTGCTTAAGAGTTAGGAAAACTGCCAGTTTTAAAAACCTCCAAACTCACAATTAATAGTGTCTCTTTTTTAAAGGTCCTGGGATAAGGATCGTTACATGGCACCTGACATCGAAGCTGTATTAAAGCTTGTGGTGGATGGCAAGGTAAAACCAGGTTTTCAGGTTGTTGCTTTTGTTGTTGTTATCATTGTTATTGTTTTGAACAGTTGATGCTTGTAGAAAATATTAATGAATATGTAGGCGAGTCATTCTTTAATCTATCCCTAGCTTGGTGTCAGTAGATAAGGTGCCTATTAATCATAGATGACATGAGCTATTGGTTTGATTTAGCGCCTCCCTCAACCAACCCCCCGCCGTGCACGTCTCCCATCCCCCCCCCCTACATAATCAGTGAAAGTTATCTTTGCTCAGTCCCTCCCCTTTAGCCCATTTTTTGCTCAACCCAGGTACGCTCGTTTACCTGTTCGATCTCATCGCCTGGAAAATGGAAAGGAAACGTCTGCTACACGTGCTATTATAACGAGTGCCCCTATTCTGAACATGGGAAGATAGATGTCACCTTACTAAAAATAGCAATTTTCTAACTCTATCCCTGTTTAGTTGCTTTCACGTTTTTTTCTTGTCAGATCTGGGATGTGGCCTCACCGTTTATGACGCACTACACTAACCGCATGACGTGTCACGAACTACCTACTAACATACTGTCGCCAACAGCAAGCGTCTTGTCGGATTGTCCTCCGCCGGAGAAGAAGATGAAGTTAAACTAAGAGTGATAGGTCTTACACATATTACACCCCCCCCCCTGCTCCCCCACCCCTCATCTGCTTGGAGACTTTGTAGATCGTGTTTATGGAGCAAACCAGTTATATTAATCAAACTATTTTAATCAAACCTATTCAGTTGAGAAAATGTTGTACAGGACACGTTTTGTGAAATGGCGAACAGAAAGGAGTGTTACGCTATATAACTTATGAAGCGGTTAACTTTACCAGCAAAGGAGTTTATACTTGTGTACTAATTGTAATCAGCGTATTTATGCAAATGTTAGAAAGTAAACTGTTTTGCTTCTCATAAAGGTTAAGTTAAAATTGCAACATGTATTTCCTTCAACTTAATTTGCTGTTACAGTGTTTAAAATTTGTGCTTACTCATACCTATGACGAAAAAAAGTTCTAATGTTGGTTTGTAAATATATTTTAAGTCTCACAGAACATTGTAATTTTTAATTTAAAGAACTTCTGTGTTTTCTGTGTAAATTTCAGAGACAAATATTTGCTGTCATTGAATATACGCAAGCTTGAAGCAAGTTACAAAGTAGCATACTGGGTTTTTTTTTCGTATACGTTTCATTTAGGGTAGTTTGCACACACGGATGTAATGTTTACGTTGTAAATAAATCGGCTTATTTACGCTTCCAGGCTAGGTATTTTACATTTGCCACCAATTTCCTGGAACGCAGATCTTAAACTGTCTCTTCCCGGAAGTTTCCTGGTTTATTGAGCATCTCATTACTCAATTGTATTCTTTCTTAGTTATACAGAGCTGAGACGAACGCCTCTTAACTTTCTCTCCCTCTCGTTTTATTTTTGCTTTTAATTGTACCTATATAATTCTCTTCGTATGATTCTCTTAAGATTTTAAGTTTTCTTAGCCTCGAATCGTGAATCATTCTCTGTTTAAGCTAGGGGCCTAAAAAGTTCCAATTGCTCAATCTTTAAAACTGTCTCTTGGAACACCGGGGACATCAAAATAACGTAAGCCAAAACGAGGTAAGCCACTTTTAGTTGATTCTTTTCTATACGTAGCATTAAGCGTAATTTTCGAAGCATTCTCAGACATTGTTCTATAAACGGCTAAAATCATAGCGCAATCGCCAAGAGCATTAAATGTTGAAAAAAGCAAGAAATTTGGAATATTTTGAAGAGAGAAACGACGCACAAACTTGACTATTATACAGAGGAGGTCCGTCACCAATCCCACAATCACTTTTCTCGCTTATTTTCTGCTCGTATTTCGAGATGGCCCCAGAAGAAGCTATATTAACGAAGGTCTGTTGCATTTTTTTCGCTTTTCAGCAGTTTTTACGGTAAGACAAGCCTTTTTTCTGTTTTCCTCATTCCCAGTGCATGCAGGTTCGCATTGAGGAGGTTAGACTGGGCGAGAATGCAAAGAGGACCTATTGCGATGTGGTCACGGATCGTTGTGTTTATCGTGTTATGCGAACATTGCTAGGATATCTACTTTCACAAAGCTCTTTTGGGATCCGTAGTTGCGAATTTGTCGCAAACTTTAAGGCATTTTAAATTTTAACTCAGTGACCTTTGCTTGATGGTAAAAGTCGCAAAAAGGCTCCACGTTTTGTTGGCGAACGAAGCGATACTAACATCTGTTGTCTACAGTAGTCACAATTGTTATATGGCTAGCTCCGGCATAAGCGGGCAAGATGAGTCAAATCCTGCGCTGTGATTGGCTATCCGAGCGGGCAAACTGGAGCTATCTTGCTTGCTCGGAACTATCCGCCGTGTCCCGCAAGAAAAATTTTCCCGAAAGCCATATAATAAATCCTTTATCGACCAAGCTTGTTCGGTCAAGGTGACTGTNTTTTTTTTGCGAGTTTATGGACCGAGACGCAGTCGAGGTCCATAAACACGCAAAAACAGAACTTGGCCAATATCCAGCAATCTTGACCTCACACTTGGTCAATAACCCATATGTACTAAAGGAAAACGCAATTCTTCTGTATTTTGAAAGGTCTTCCAAATTAGCAGAAAATATTTTTCATGTCATATGCACTGTAAGGACCTTGGCGCTAATTGCGTCTGCGCATCCTTACTGCGCACGCAAATTCACATGCCCCGTCATGCATCTAACGCGCGCTATAGGGCAGATAGCCATTACTATAGCTTTTCCTGGATTTAACGATCTTGGACGTTCGGTGACCCAGCAAAATCTTAGCAAAACGAAAGGACTACTCTTTGGAACATAGCAACAATTGCAAACCTCATCAGACTTTGTACTGCAGATCCAAGGAAAGGACATAGGGAGAGTGACGAAGTTTAATTATCTCGGGATTATGCTCGACGAACAACTTCACTGGAGAGAGCATATTGACTCGATTTGTAACAAAGTCAACGAGCGACTGGGAATTTTAGCACGAATAAGATCTTGCCTTACTCTTAAAGCAGCGTCTACAATACACTTATAGAGCCAATCCTGTGTTATACGGACATCGTGTGGGGGGAATTGTCAGCCACCTCCAGCAAAATTTTACAACGGTTACAAAATCGCGCTGCCCGTATCGTTTTAACGCGTGACTCTTCCAAAGACACTTTTAATGCTTTAGGGTGGGTTGAGCTAGAAACAAAACGAAAAAAGACATAAATGTACTTTAGTATATAAATGTCTAAATAATCTAGTACCTGAATATTTGAGTGACTATTTCACAAGAAATTAAATGTGCACAGCTACAATACTCGCAGAAGAACAGATTTCCACCTGCCCAAACCCAAACTTAGCCTTGCAAAAAGAACCTTTAGATATTCGGGCTTAGCTTTTTTTAACCTCTTACCCCGTAGCATTCAAAACGCCGAGTCACTTTCTTCTTTCAAAGTTTCAATTGACGCCTACAATTTTTAAACTGTCTAGACACTAGATTTCTATAAATTATTGCATGCTTGTTTATACTCTATACTTTTAATTATTACTTGTATTTTTAAATTTATATCTTGTATTTTTTAAATTTTATCTTGCATTTTTAAATTACCACGATCTCTTGTAATTTTAATTATTATATTTTTAGTCCAGGGCCCCTCTGGATATCTGCCTCGTTGCTGAATGGGCCACCCTGGCTAAATAAAGTTTACCTTTATCTTTACCTTTACCCTATTTTTCTTTTGATGGATCATTTTCTCTACCGATTTTCTACGTTTAGCGAAAAAATGAAGAAAATCTATCGATTAGCAGTTTGAGTTTTTTGCAAAATGCACCACCGAATTCCGTTCCCCAGTTTAGCTCTCCGTTTATTTGTGCGGCGATTTCAAATGCCTCTTGAAGGGTAAGTTTTGTGAAAACGTTGGCAACAAAACAAACTGATCGACTTTGCAGCAATACTTCTGACGAAAAAATGCTCGAACAGCATTTTCGATGTTTTCTGAAAGA